ATTTAATAAATCACGTCAAATTAATATTGTCTTAATCCCAAATAATTGATGATGAACAAATAATTAATAAAAAATGATAATAGATTAGTGGTCAATTCTTCTAGAAGAATTTTCTCTGTGGGAATGGAGCCCGGGAAAATCGCCGGACCATCCCCTAAATTTGAATAATTCGCGGGCGGAAGTGTCAGTGAATTCGCGAAATGAGGACATCCTGTCGCCAACTTCAAGTGAGAAATACGCCCGGCAATGAAGTACAAGAGGGGGACTACATGTACATGCCAAATGTACGAGTATTACAAGACCCTAAAGCGGATGATTGTGTGGGAATAGATTGTAAGGTGGTGAATATCGTTGCCGTCATTTGGTTATTGGTGACTTTGAAACTTTTGAGGTTATAACTTTTTTCACCTGCTGAGTGCAGCCCAACAATAATCCACCGTGCATTGATATTCAATCGGTTGTCCTCTGGTGATCGATTGAGCATGCGGTGTAACTCGGGGGTTATTATCGTAATTATGGCCCTCATCAACCAGTAATTTGTGTTTGGGATAAAAGACTGAAAAAGACGTCGATAATGTCGGCTACAAGTAATCGTATGATAATGTGGCAACATCGGCTGGCCGATATGGCCGTTTGACGAATAATTATTGGCGTATATATTGTTTTAATCCGTCATTCGTTGCATTGTGAGAGTCAATTGGAATATTAATTTATCATGGTCAAGGAGAAGCCTAACTCCATTCGTATTTACGACTCTGAGGGCTACAGGCGGAGGGCAGCGTGTATTTGCGTGAAAAACGACCTCGAGGATGAGGTAGGGACATAGAGGGCACCAAATGCTGGAGAAATTGGCATTTTACCTTTTTTATATTGCTATTTTTCAGGTTTTACTCGTGACGTCCAGCAGACGACCTGACAGCTGGATTGTACCTGGTGGGGGCGTCGAACCTGAGGAGGATCCAGCTGTTACTGCTCTCAGGGAGGTCAGAGAGGAGGCCGGGGTCCTTGGGCAGCTTGGACGGTGTCTTGGCATCTTCGAGGTACACCAGAAGTTTTTTTTATTCGTCTCACGCCAGCCAGGAATTACCCAATTGTTCTATTTCAGAGGATATATACGATTTTCGAGGAGTATCTCGGGATCTGGGGGAAATGGTGATTTTTTTGTGGAGACATTTTTTTTAGATCTCAATCCACTCGAGAAATTAGGTTCTTAGAAAAAATTTGATATCTCGCTCAGGGCTTGAGATTTCAAACACGTTTATTTTATCGGGTTTTCAAAAAGGGGGAATATTCAGGAATCTGAGAGAGATAGCGAGATTTTTATGAGGACCTTTTTTGCGAGGTAAATTGAGGACTATAAAAATGGTTATTACACTAATTTCAGAATTTCCGTTAGATTCGGAGATATTCATCGAAAATGTATCGGAGGTGTTCTCCATTTTTTTATAATTCGGTATTTTTGTTGTTCCATTGGACTGAGTCTAATAATTATGCAATGATTAATTATCTGTCCTCAGAACATTGAACACAAACATCGAACTCAGGTGTGGGTGATGCGAGTAACCGAGGAGCTGCCAGAGTGGGAGGATTCACGTTCAATCGGTCGCAAGAGGAAATGGTTCACCATCGCCGAGGCCCTGGTCCAACTAGCCCAACACAAGCCCGTCCAACGATCCTATCTCCACAGCCTACTTAACACTAATCCACGAAGAGGTGCATCATCACCAGCCTCCTCCCTCCATTCCCACCAGATACCAACTCCCATTCAACTCGTGACGAATTCAAACTCCGATCCACACTTCAGTAAAAACAGCTAATGTCAAAATTCAACATTAACCATTTGAGTTACGAATTTTTTAAATAACGAGGTAATAACACGATTGTAATCTCCAATTTTTTGTAATGCAATGTTGCAGTGACAACGATAATCCAAACTCATTTGTACTTTATACTTATACGAGGAAATAATTGTAACAATGCTGTAAGCTATTTAATGAAATTATGAGGAAGTGGGAGATGAATGAATGTGAAAGAAATGTGTCTACTGCGTATATCTATCGGTTCCTCGATTAGGACTGTCATTCAAATAAAAAGAAATAGTTTATATGCTCATTAATACAGAAAAAAATTATTTGACTAAAAAATTTTATTATTTAATTAACGCTTGATGTGGTGATTTGAATTTCATTGTCGATGGTGCTGACCCCTAAGTTCTACCTCGTGTTTTTGTTTTTCATTTAATTGTTTCACGTGTGCAGCAGGGGCAGCAGGTGAATTTCGCTTGTCAAAAATAGTTTAAAAAATTTATTAAAACTGTTCTCATAATAAAAATAAAGGAGTAAGTAATTATCGACCTTTCACAATTCAAATTGTTGACTAATTCTGATGTTTTAATGAAAAAACTTTGAAGGTTATGATCAACAAATCAATTTTTGCTGTTATAATTTGTAAACAAATACTGATTTTTCATAAAATATGTTAGAATACCAATGGATTCAGAAGAAATGGAGTACAAGAACGAGGAGATGGACGAGGACGAGAGTGAGGACGAGATGGACGAGTCAATGGAGGATAAAGATAGTGTAAAAAATGATGAATCTAAGCCAGAGGTTTATTTACCGGGTCGAGTCCTCGAGAAGGGTGAGGAACTAGTGGTGGACATGTCAGCGTACAGAATGCTGCATCAGGCACAGACGGGTGCCCCCTG